GCCGCCCGAGGCAGCCGTCGGGCAAGCCCGAGGCGCCAAGGATAGTGGCCGCAGGACCTCGGTTGCCCTACTTCTGCGTGGGGAACCCTGGATCTGGAGTGGCGGTTCCATTGGCAAGGCACAACCGGCTAGCAGCCATGCGGGTGGTGGATCAGGTGTCCCGGCTGCGCGGGCAGCGGGATCCAGTGGTCGTTGGCGGCTGGCAGCGGCTTCTGTGGCGGTCGATGCATGCGATCTGGCGCCTCCCCTACTCCCCTATTCGGCGTGCGGGCCAGCCTGGTCGGGCCGCGCTTCCTCTTGATCGCCGGTTCTGTACGGGAGGCGCTGCTGGTGGCGGGGATCTAGTTCGGGCGAAATCCCTGGACGGCCATGACTGGCCGCGCCGACGGCGATGCCTGAGGGCGCCGTTCCCCTCCTTGGAGGCGTCGGTATGGACTGATCTTCTCACTTCACCTTCCCCTAGGTCTCCCGGGCAAAAGCCCTAACTTTGTTGGGCGGCAGCGCTCACGGCGCCGTTGCCTTCTTGAAGGTGCCACTTTGGGAACTTTGGGGTTGGGTGGCGCTTGTGGGTGGTGGGCGGCGGCGGTGGTGCGGCCCTATCCTAGCATGGATTTATGTCCGTTGCTTGGAGATGGACTCGCGTAGGTGGAGGTCGTCGGCTGGCGTCGTGGTGGCGTCAATGGCGGGGGACCTGCCAAGGCTCGCGTAGATGGAGGTCGTCGTTTGGCATCGTGGTGGCGTCGATGGCGGAGGACCTGCCAAGGTTGTCACCTCAATCTGCTGTGAAGATGGACCAGTGAAAGATGGCGGCGATGACACATGTGAGTGCGTCGGACCGGTTTGAGCCCCGGACCAGGCAGATGGCTCAGTCGGGGCCTCCGACTTTAGATGTTAGGCTTAGATGAGAGGTCTGGGTATGTGGCCTAGCTTGCACCCCTTCATCATTTAGATAGGAGTAGCTGCAGATTTTGATAAGATGACGGATTTAGGCATATTGTTGTTCTACTTTGTAAGATCCTCAAGAATAATCAATAAAATGATCACATGCATCTCACAAATGCAGAGGCCGAAGGTCATCATCCTTTTCTAAAAAAACACAAGATGGGAGATGGCCCGCCGTCGCCATCGGCCGGCCGGGGATTCGCCGAGCGGCTCCGACCGGCGACGGCGAGGAGGTGATGGCATGAGGGGGCGCTTGTGGCGGCGATGATGTGTGGCCACGCAAGACGCCCTAGCAGGGCGAAGCACTCTCGGGTCCACTTGCAAGCTAAAATGACACCCAAGTAGTATATCCTACCTATGGGAAGCTGTCAGCTTCAAAGGAAAGACCAATAAAGCTCTGTCTTTTCTGATCTAAATTATATATCCACTTGACATTTCATAATGGAGATCTTTGTACGACACACTATCATAAGATTGTTAGTGCTTATTCAATTAACAGGTAAGAAGAAGTACTTCCACAAGAATCATTTGGCAGCGAAGTCACGCCAGGAGATAACAATATAAATATTTTACCAAGATCCCAAAAGACATCCAAAGAATGTTTTTTCTTTCCAACAAGCAAGAAGCTACAATATAATTATTCATTCACAAAAAGCTGATCATAGCAAACGTTGTTTGTTCCACCCACACTTGTATCATGATTCAATTTGTTTACTCAATTTTAGGGGCAATCATTGGATTGCGAGGTTGATGCATGAGTGCCCAAAGCATATGTCCACGGGTGCATAATTATTTAATTAATTGGCAACTAACTATAGCCCAGAGCACGCTATCAAGCTCATCCACAAGTTAATCTCCGAAGCTATATAATATGGCATACTACTATTATTAATGTACTTTTCACCATGCATGCATGTGACCTTTTCCTAACATGCTCCCGTTTTGCCCAGTAAAGTAACTAGACCAAGCACTACATAGCAACAAAAGAATATACGCTATAAAGCTGCAGGCGTGATTATCCATAAGAGCTTAACCTATCCAATCACATAGAAAGTATGCACAGGATATAATAATGGAAAAAGAAAGAACTGCGAAGTCAACTAGGTAACACAAAGAATAATTTGGAACTAATGAAGACACTTATAAAACACAAAAGTAATTAACAAAGATCTGTTCCTATAGTACTTTATTCACTCTCTAATCATCACTTAATAATGGTCTCCTGTGATTTGGCCGATTAACAAAACATGATAGGAATCTTATGATCAAGGTTAGTCAGCAGAAGGAATGATCATGGAGAGCTGTATACGTATATATACAAACAAAAGTATACATGCACACGCATCTCCAACGGATGCATGCTCTCTTCTTTCACGTCATTTGCCTGGAAGGTGCAGCATCTCTGGCCTATACGTTAGCACATTACCCGCAGGCTCTTCTGCGGTCTTTCATTCTTTTCTTCTTTCGGAAGGTGGGACGCAATTATCACCAAATCAATTTTGGCAGCGTGTCACTGCGTTTGTCATACTTTTTGACACTTGTATATTCTGACTTTATCCACATCTCTAATTTTCTATGATTGTATTGATTTAATAGCTGCAAAATGTGTTGATACACTAAAATTGTGATGTATCACCTACTACTACTGATTTGTTGACCACCGGAGAAAGGAAATGATACACAATTTATTTTTTCCTGATGAGCTAACAATCGATGATAATTGCTCAGTGGAGCTAGGGTTATGATACACGTTCAAGCTGGCTTGGAAGTTGGAAAGACGAGGAGGTGTAGGAGGTTATAGTAGACCTGCGCATGGGCAGCCCGGCCCGACGACCAAAGCCCAAAAGCCCAACATCCGGGCCATAGATGGGATTAGCTCTTCCGCCCGAAGCCCAGCCCGAAAATATCCAAATGAGGTTAAAATAATTATTTTAATTGAAAATAAGTAGAGTAATGTATTTAAATACCCTGAAAACTACTATATTGACTAGAAACGTGCATTTTCCACATGGTTTGGGGTGGGCACGGCTCGGGCTTGGCGTTTTCACTTTGCGCTTTGTCAAGCCCGGTCAAAAACCTATCCTGGCCTTGGGTATGATCAGGTTTAGTCTATCTCATGTCCATGTGTGGCATAAAAATAAGCTAGTTTGGAACGAAAGGAGAAGGATAAATGGTGCTCTGTGTAAATTTAATGGATGTAAAATGTTGATATTGTTATAGGGTCGTATCACCTACTACTATCTTGGTAACAACTGGAAAAATGATATCATCAGCAAATATTCCTTTCTATGATATACAATTGTTGGACCAATTGCTCAATAGAGTTAGGGTTATCATGGAGACGACGGTTGTCCACAAGTGGCATAACGATAAGCTAGGTTAATTAGGCCTAGGGGTCGGGTAAGGGGGGGACTCTGAATTAATATAGAGAGCATCTATGTCCCCCACAACTAAGAATAAACTAACTCTTATTAACTTTACAAAATTGTTATTGCAAAACAAAAATCAGTGACCGTGTTTAAATATATTTTTCATCTAGGTAGTAGAAAATATACAACATTATCTCAATCGACAAAGAATTAACTAATTCTCATCTGATTTTACCAATGTGCTCATACAGATTAAAAATATACATTCAGGTAATGTAATAATTCAAAAAAATGCAAAATCTTGCAGGGATCTCAAAGTTAAATTGATGGAGTAAATAGAATTAGCAACTCTGACAAATTCAATAGCTATAAAATATGTCTTTCTGAAAATTCTGCACTCACATCCCTTAACTTTTTTCAATTGTAGAAATGGAAGTTGCCATGGCTCTATGAAGGGTATAATTTGGTATTTACAATATTAGCATGTCATGGGATGGTGTAACACAGCATTGTAGCCATACATTCTTCTTTTAATTTATGCCCCCTCCATTCATTTATGTAAGGTGTATTATTTTCAGCACGATGACCAAGGCACATAATTATAGATGAGTTAGGACGAAATTGCCCTTGACAAATTTGTCGGTTACTGACAAGTAAATCAGTTAGTCCAAAAAAGTAAGAGATACATGCAATCGACAGAGAGATACTTTCTTCTTTTGCTACAAAAAAAAGATACAGACAATCGGGAGTGATATACTTTCCCTTTTCTGGAGGGCTAACAAGGAAATTATGCGGAATTAGAAGAAATGCATCTTACATTCTGGAATTTTCTCAAAAAATAAATACACCTTATATAAAGGAATTGAGGAAGTATAAAGGAAGCCCTGCATCGTCTTTAATCTTGCTCTACTCTCCTACAAGGCAAGCAGACACTTCAATCACACATGATTTATGACTTGCATCAGTCAAAGCATGGCACACTTAATTTTCCCCACCCCACCCCAATTGGAGGGAGGGCTCACCCTCTCTCTGTCCAAATTATTCCGGGCCCCTGAAGTGTGGACACATACATGCTCTGTTTGGCATATATGTACGGTTAATTTCCACCCTCCCATTTTAATCCCACCAATTATTCATGTCCCCAGCCAGCCACCCATATTGCCCTCCCTCCTACCTAGCTCCCCCAATACAGGCCCAAAAAAATCTCAAGCCCCTATATAACCTTTAGAGAGAGAGAGAGAATGGGTGTGTGCTAGAGAGAGAGAGGCACCAGCACGAGCGCCCTTCAAAAAATACTGCATAAATAAAGGGGGCAATAACTGGGGAGAAAGGGAGAGAGAGAGAGAGAGAGACAGAAGTGAAGAGGGGAGAGAAGAAGTGGTCACTGCAGACAGAAGAGAAGATCAAAAGAGATCGGGCGATGCAGCACAAGATTGGAGGGCAACAACAAGCGCAGCAGCAGCAGCAGCAGCAGCAGCCGGCAGCAGGAGCAGAAGAGCAAAGCAGCCAGCAACGCCAACGGCTTCTTCCACCACTCCTCTTCTTCAAGCTCCAGCCGCAGCTCTCGATCTGATTCATCGAGCTTCTTCTTCCTCCTCTCCCTCTCCGAATTGACTCATAGAGGAGGAGGAGGAGGAGGCGGCGGATTAGCAAGCAGCTGGTGCGGCGCGGCGGGCGGCCATGGACGACACCCTCAAGTCGCTGTCCATGGACTACCTCAACCTGCTCATCAACGGCCAGGCCTTCAGCGACGTGACCTTCAGCGTGGAGGGCCGCCTGGTGCACGCGCACCGCTGCATCCTCGCCGCGCGCAGCCTCTTCTTCCGCAAGTTCTTCTGCGGCGCCGCCGCGGACCAGGCCGCCGCCGCAGCCGCTGCCGGCTCCCCCGGCGCGATGCTCATGGACCACCTCAGCCCGCGTTCCCCCTCCGGTGCATCCGCCTCTTCCCCGCGCGGCGCCGGAGGCTCCGGTTCCGGCTCGGCCTCCGCAGCGGCGATGGCGCCCGGCGCCGTGATACCGGTCAACTCGGTGAGCTACGAGGTGTTCCTGCTGCTGCTCCAGTTCCTGTACAGCGGGCAGGTGTCGCTGGTGCCGCAGAAGGGGGAGCCGAGGCCCGGGTGCGGCGAGCGCGGCTGCTGGCACACCCACTGCGCTGCCGCCGTCGACTTGGCCCTCGACACCCTCGCCGTCGCCCGCTCCTTCGGCGTCGAGGAGCTCGCCGTCCTCACCCAGGTAATCAATTACATACTCTCCCTAATTAATCCCCAATTCCGAATTCTTGCTCCTCGACCCTCTTTTCCCCATGAACAAGAATCAAGAAGCTAATAATCTCTCACTCCTGGAGCCGGGGATCGATCGATTGTGGGGATCAAGATGGGGGTCGGTTATGTTGGGATCGGCGAGCATTCTGATCTCTGCAGCAGCATTGATTTGATCTCTGGCCGTACCTTTTTAAATGAAGCTACTCGAGTGTGGTAGCGGTATCGTCGACGTCGTCGTCGTCGTCGCCGTCGACCCGTCGTGTCGTCTGCAGGCAGCGCACGCACGCGTGCGTCCGTATATGCATATGCATACGTACGTGCGCGCTTTCTTCCTCCTCCTGCGGGCTGCCTGCCTGCCGCTTTCTTTCCTGCTCTCTCTTTATCCGTCCATCCATCCGTCTTTCCGTCACCCATCCATCCACCCCCCTTGCTTTCAGCTCTTGTTGCTAGCTAGGGTTCGTTAATGGTAAATTTCTCCTTTCCTTTTCGCCACTGTTCCTCCTTCTCATGCCACCATGGCCGCCACTGTTGCAGCACGAGCAGCACACCACGGCTGCAAGTAGCGGGCGATTCGGCAGCACTCGGAAAGGCACACACTTTCTTGCTTTGTTTTTGCTCCATTTGCGATTTTGCGCTAGGGTTTTCTTTTCTTTGTGAGAGGGTTAATTTCCCTTTTTCCAAAACTTTTTTCGCCAATCCCTTTAATCCTGTCTTCAATCAGCGCCATGATGCTGCTATACATACATACTGTTGCACCCTTCTGTTCCTCCTCCTTATATTTTATGCACAGGGACAATCCACTATGCACACATCTCATATATGGGTAGAGATCTCTTCCTTTATATCGTCTCTTGTTAGCTTGCTCACCACCGCTCTCTCGGTCTCTCCATACCATACCTGTGAGCTGTGAGCTTTTGCAACTTGTGAGTGTACATATGATGGATGTGGAAAAAGTATTGAGCTTTTTGCGACGGTGATGGCTTTGTGGTTTTGCAGAAGCAGCTGGCGGGCATGGTGGAGAAGGCGTCCATCGAGGACGTGATGAAGGTGCTCATGGCGTCGCGCAAGCAGGACCTGCACCAGCTCTGGAACACCTGCTCCCACCTCGTCGCCAAGTCCGGCCTCCCGCCGGAGGTGCTCGCCAAGCACCTCCCCCTCGACGTCGTCGCCAAGATCGATGACCTGCGCCTCAAGTCCTCCATGTCCCGCCGCTCCCCCTTCCTCGCCCACCACCAGCAGCACCAGCAGCACCACCACCAGGGCTCCGTCATCGAGGCCTCCGCGGCCGAGCTCGACGACCACAACAAGATCCGCCGGATGCGCCGCGCGCTCGACTCCTCCGACGTCGAGCTCGTCAAGCTCATGGTCATGGGGGAGGGGCTCAACCTCGACGAGGCACTCGCGCTGCACTACGCCGTCGAGAACTGTAGCCGGGAAGTGGTCAAGGCGTTGCTGGAGCTGGGCGCCGCTGACGTCAACCACCCGGCTGGGCCCGCCGGGAAGACGCCGCTGCACGTCGCGGCCGAGATGGTCTGCCCGGACATGGTGGCCGTGCTCCTCGACCACCACGCCGACCCCAACGTGCGCACCGTCGACGGGGTCACGCCGCTCGACATCCTCCGTACGCTCACCTCCGACTTCCTCTTCAAGGGCGCCGTGCCGGGGCTCACCCACATCGAGCCAAACAAGCTCCGACTGTGCCTCGAGCTCGTGCAGTCGGCGGCCATGGTCATGTCCAGGGAGGACGCGGCCGGCAATGCGCAGGTGCCCATGTACAGCGACCACCATCCAGGCGCGGGCGGCGGTGGCGTGTACAGCAGCAGCGGTGGCGCGAGCACGAGCATGAACCTGAGCTTGGACAACAGGATGGTGTATCTCAACCTAGGGATGGACGTGATGAACCATGGCGACGGCGGTGGCGACGACGGCGGGAGCAGATCAGGGCAAGGAGGCCCCTCTTCGTTGTTCTCCCCGCATGGCTTCCCATGAGACATGGCTGGCTGCTCTACTATCTCCTTGTAAGGCTTAGAACTAATTAATCATATGCTCTATTTATATCCATATTATCACAGGAGGTCAGTGATGAGAATGCATGATCAGATCAGATGATCCTTTTGGACTGTTGATTAAGTAGCGTCTTTTGTAGAGAGATCATGCATGCATGGATGTTGAATTTCAATAGTTAATTTCCTGGTGAGTTGATATGTGTTCGTTAGGGTCTACATTAATTTCCTTTTTTTTCTTAATTGGTGGTGTTCTTTTGAGAAGTTTGACAGGTGATGTTTAAAAAAAAATGAAAACTGTTTCTGTTTTGTGCATGTGTGTTGGTGTTGGTGGGTCATGTTCTTTGATGCACTGAAACATGGACAAGAAAGGTCGATTGGTACTTGATTTCATATCATGTCTTACTACTTTTTTCTGCTCAAATGATCCTTTTGAAATCACACAAGGTCGATTGAGCTATATTATTTACTATGTTGTCTTCCTATATGCGCTAGTACTCCCGCTGTACACAAATGTAAGATGTTTTGGTAAATTGTCAATTTTACATTTGTGAACAGAGGGAGTATTACTTATCACGTATAATATCTTAGTGTATGTACTCCCTATTTAGCGCCGTGGCAGCACTTGTTTTTATTTTTCCTTACTGGAATTTATTTGGCCAAAATTCATATTTTCTGCCAATTAACTTAAAGAACTTATTTTACTTGTAGCAGAGTGCATTTAATAGAGGTCATCATGTATATGTACTACTTATCTACATACCTTTTGCTATCTCAACTGATAGAAGTACTGTTCTTGAAAAAAGAAAAACATGTAGTGATAATTTTCTCTTTGGGAGTTATTTGAGGCTGAGAAGATTTTGAGATTATTTGAGCGCAATGAGAGGGAGAGGGAGGGGCACACAAGCATGTGGGGGTTGGCATGAAGAGGGGAGACAACGGGAATCTAACTTGAGCTTATGAATGATGGAAGCGATCGATGCTGGTCAATGCTTTAACCCCACAGCCCCTCCCATTTTGTTCTTATTGCAAATTCGGCCGGCTTCCATGTTACTACAACCTATGCAAATGGGCAGAGGGGGGGAAGGGAGATGAGTGCAAAAAGGAAAATCACTCTTCATTTTTACTTCACCTTTTTCTCCACTTCTTTTGTTGACCTTGGTGTTGGTTTCCTCAGAGGTGTGGGTTCCGCTCCTTTTCTCTCTCTACAAATTTACCTTGCCTTTTATCTATTGGTGTCTCTTGGCTGGGTGTAGGCAGGGTGTAGGATGAGAGAGAGAGAGAGAGAGAGAGAGAGAGAGAGAGAGAGATTGTATACAGGTATCTAGCTTTGAAACAATGGCAAATCTTGAGTCTTAACTATAAGCCGGAGGCCATATCCTAGTGAGGGGAAGGGCTGTCCCCCCTCCTCTCACACACCATCTTTCTCTCTCTCATGGATCTATAGTGCATGACTATTGCATGGTATTGATTGTCTCTCTTTCTCTCTCTAGTGCATGCAACGCTTTCCATGCAACGATGGCCTATCTATCTGTCTTTATGGCCCAATAGTGCTTGGGCTGGCCTCACGCACTGCCCCATCCGACGGACAAAATAGTTGTAGTGGGGCTTGCATTGGGCACACAGCGAGGCTGTGGACAAATGTATCCCTTGTCTTGCATGAGTGCAACATTGTGTAATGTCACTGTGTGGCCTCACGCATAAAGTCACCACCTATACATGTGTCGATCAGTAATGTTGTGGTGCTGCTGCATCAACATGGATCTCCCCCTATGATGGCTCCTTGCATGTATGATGGCCCTGCCTCTGATCTATTCTTTCCTGGCCTCGCAACCATTCACTTTCCATTTGTGTGTCTCTTTAGCGTCTTCGTGCAAAGCCTACATATGTATGTATACGGCCACTGTTCTGGCCTCTGATTTGCTGCTGTAGCGAGCCAGCAGCCAGGTTAAATTTTTTTGACTGCGTGCATGCGTTTGACTAGATCCATGCATACCCCATTCCCTTCGAGAGAAAAAAAAAATAGCAAGATCAAGATGTTCAGGTGCATGCATGTAGTACATTGTATATGTACATTCTTTTGCGTATGTGTCTGAATGTCTGATAAGACGACAGCTAAAGAGGTAATAAGACACAAGGTGATTTGTTCTCTTCTTTCTGCGAGCACAGATATTTTTATTATATGATATAAGCCTAGGTCTTCCCTGCGGTCTCCCAGCTCCTAGCTAGCAACAATATATTATCATAGCTAACGTACAGCTAGCCTATGCAGGCACACAATTGACAGGAATGTTTTTGAATATATACTGGTTTCGACAAGGCACTACATATTTATATGACATGATTTGATCTACATGCATGTATGCGGTGTGGCTTTAAACTGATACTATAATGAAATGGTGTCCCCTAAAGATACAAATGCATGTGACCAGCACCTCAATAATGGCCATATTGTTTTATTATTTTGCTAGGAAATAATGGCCGTAACGATTCATGTCACTATATTCAGTTTACATATTTAGTATTGACGTATCTTTTAAATAAAGTTATGTTGTTTTGGATATATAGTTAGAACAATATGATTAGGGCCACACTTGTGTTGTTATGCATTTTATACCAATGTTTTTTTACGTCCAACGAAGGACTCGCTTCATCCATGTATGCAAGGCCACTTGTCTTGTCTTATGTCCAATTGTTTTAATTTGATCAAGAACTTAAAAGGATTTATTTATAATGCTAATCAAACTTTAAATGGTTTGGTTTTATAAACATGATCACAACATAAAGGGTTTGAATTGAGACAAGACAAGGCTGAGAGAGAGAGAATTTTGATGGAAAATGGAATTTGCTAGCTGGCTTACTTGCTAGTGGACAGACATCTTGCATAACTGGAATCATGCATTTAGGTTAGTTGAAGCATAATTTTGTATTTTATATTTGTAATCTTATGTGTAACTCCGTCCGACTCCCAAAATAGGGCATGTGTGTTGTTCATACATACAAATAACATTCCAAGCCCAGCTATCATATAAGTGGCCACCCACTCAATTCGGCCTGTAATTGCTCCAAATGACCATGAGCTTCGTTTTTGGAGGAGATAGGAAAAAAGTTTAGGGCCTTGTTTTTTTAGAACAGGGAGAGTGCCACACTAGCTTTACTAGCAAGAATGTTTTAATTTGCTCTCATGGGGCATGTTCTCCCTTGATTTCACTAAATAGTGATGTTTTGGACATTGATACGGGTTTAAACACATAAATTTTTACTGTGGTATGCACATAATGACCAAAAATACTAATACATGTTGGTACAATGTACGCACATGATTTTCAAGTTTCCAATCCATATATTTGCAAAAATAATCTTGGTAAAAAGAATTTCAAAACTCTCAAATGTATTTCCATGAAATCTAGGGCTCCCTTTGCATTTATATCCATCATGAACCAAGGATATCCATATATGTTGATCTTCCCATATATAATTGTTAACTGCTACAACACATTTTTTGGGCATTTGCTCTCAAATGTGGCACCTATTTACTAATAAGTGCAACCAGTATGTGTGCATACAAAGGTTATTCACCTTAATTTAATTCTCTTTAAATAAATGTCAATATTCCATCTTCAGATATCAAAGTCTACGCACGGGGAGTGGGAGGCAGTGGGGTGTGTATATATGTTGCACAGAACATTAACCCATGCTGCTTAAGTTGCATCCTAAGATATATTGTCCTATCACTACTATAGAACCATCCTCCAAAGGCTCGTACCTAAACCCTTCCAGTGTGGGTTGTGCACCTGTCAGTGACTATATATTGACGGAGAAAAAAAGCAACTAGCAGGCAGCCTCATTATTGGTATGTGCCTTGCATGCCCTCACAGACTCATTTTAGCAGCTTTCAAGTACTGACACACCCGCCTGGTGAGGGCGAGCTCAAGGACAACGACATGATCAATTAGGTTGTGGAGGAGGAATGCGTACATTACTATGTAGGTAAGAAGGTAGAGAAGAATGTCAAAGGGAGGTGGGGAGAAGGGGAAGTGGTCAAATTTGATCAAGGGAGGAGTCATAGTTGGAGAAGCTGAATAGGTGGGAGTGGCATTGAGGGGTGGGAGGGGTCGACGACATCGATAGCGGACTAGAAAGCGGGAGGGAAACAGAGGACGTAATCACTTCTTTACGAATTACAGTGTCATGCCAGTTCAAACGAGGAAAAAAATAGGGGAGCTCCCTCCATTTTGGCAAAAAGAGAGAGACGAGAACAACTAGTTTATAGGTTCTTTTAGTGTCCAATTGAGCTCTTCCATTGCCAGATGAAGTCCTTACTAGCCTAATTTGTCTCAGCCTTTTTTCTGGAGGAAAGGATGTGATGTTGTTACCATGATCTGGTTTCCATGCTAATATGGGCCTAAGTGTCACTCAAAAGCTAAATCTTGCTTATTGTGGGACGAAAATCGCGCTCGCCACCAGCGTTCTCACTATCGGTCGGTCTAATAACTTGTGGTTATCGAACCTTCCAGGGAATGGTTTTGGGAACATTTCATCAGTTTTACAAAGCATTTGGCCCGTTTTTCTTCTTTTTCTTGTTTACTTTCTCTATTGGATTTTATTTTATTTATTTTTATCTTTATCTTTTTGGTTCTTCTTCTTTTCCATTCTTTTTTATTTTTGTTCTTATTATTTTTTTCTATTTTCAAAAATATATGTCGCCTTTTTTGAAAACATGTTGAACGTTTTTTAATACTTTTTGAACATTTTTCAAATGGCCATTTAATTTATTTTAAATGCACAATCAACAGCATTAAACACATATTGGACATTTTTCATGAATGTCATGATTTGTTTACATGTTCAAACAATATTTAACTCTTACAAATATTTTTTAAAATACACTATGATCAATCTTTAAACACATGTTGAACCTTTTCATAAATGCATGTACTTATTTAGAAAAACATGCCAACATTTCTAAGTGTTATGGACATTTGC